CAAGTATCAGGATTCATCAAGTTAAAGCAGCATAGCTCTGCCTTATTCAGCCAGGAACAGTATACAGAGAAGATTAAATCATTCCTCATAGGATTTAGTCCTATGCAGTATGCAGTACATGTAGCAGCTATAGCTACAAGGTACAATAAAGTAGCACCTGACAGCTGCTCTGACACACAGAGACACACACACACACACACACACTGTGTGTTCTTTTAGCACCAGTGACCTCACAGCAGTTGGGTTTCTACAGACATTTCCTGAATGATTCAAATCATTCAAAGGAACAGCTAACAATAAACATTATACCAGCGTTGAGCATTAGAAACAGGAAAAGCAACAAAACATAATGTAATGTAAGAATAATCTTGATGATAATGCAGAAAGGAAACCTACTGCTCTGATTCGACTCTGCCACACATCGATGAATTCTGGAGAAGAAGTGTTGACCAAGCTTGCATTTTGGGTCCAAGCCGGACAAGTCCACTCGGGCATGGACAGCATTGCCATGGAAGGGGCCAGCAATGTGAAAGTGCCACCTTGAAGGATGGGCAACCTGGATATAACAAAATATGAGTTTGCAGCTGACTTAGAAAAGCAATTGATAGAAAACAATTACATTTGCATTTATGAGGCTTTTCTTCTTCTCAAATACAAACTTCAGTTTCTACAAAACAGAATCTGTGAGCATGGGGTCAAATAAAACGTTTCTATTAAAACATGGTTTTGCAGCTACTGAACAAGCGTATTGTTCTGGATAAATCTGACCTCCAGGTATTTGGAGAGAGACAAGCAAACATCGGTAGGGCTGTGCCAGGGGAATGTGGATCTACCAGGAACTAGATTCCAATATCTTTAAGTTGAAACTTTTTCGTCCTTCTGTGACACTAAAGTGCAGCCTGACGTGAGTCTTTACACAAGTAAACAGTCAGAGCGAAACTAAAATAAACTACTGTAATTTATCATATTATTCCGTCCTGTACATGTGAATCTGTCCATATTTATGATGCCATTCACTTTGAATTTCCATTTTTAAAAATTCTGTAGCAATCACCATGTTTAAAAAAAGTTATGTAAAAGTAATGTACAAGAGTATTGATGATCATGATTTATCATGATCAAACTTTGCGTTATTAATCAATTGGTTAATAAATTGTTCGAAAGTCACTATTTTGATGCATAAATCAGTAATAATAAGTAAGAAGACAAAATACAATAGTCAAACCTAGAATGTTGAGTCTCAGTCAACAACAAGGTGGAAACTTCACTGGTGGCACAAAAAATGTTTGTGTATCTTTCAAAATTAACGAATTTTAATTTGATTTACAAAGACACTAAAGATTTTTGTGAGGAAGTTAAAACCAAGATGTAAAGTTTCACATGGGTGTGTTTAGTGTCCATCCATCCCTTTTCATCTGCTTATACGTTACCGGGTCGCGGGGGCAGCAGTCTCCATGACCGCCACCTAAATCACACTGCACTGTACCAGCCCCCTGAACCTTCCTGCGGGTGGTGAGTCATATATGACCATATATGGATGGATATATTGGATGGCTTTGGCTGTCTATTGTTAAGTCTGTTTTTCTTTTAATCATTAACAAAAATCCATGTTGATTTAACTCTGAAGGACTTTGCCAGACTGCTGGTAGCAAATGTTGAGGCACAACCTGACAACAGTTATTTTGGACAAAGAAACCACTTTATTGAATCAAATATAAAGAAAAACACTTCCAAACATCCATTTTCTTTTTTTGCTTCTTACCTCACACCGAAGGTGACCTGCAACAGCGTACAAAGGCCAGAGACAAAAAAGATGGTGCTAATGAAATGGCTTTGAGTGAGGCCGTCATGTTGAAGACACAGTCCCTGAGACAGGATTAATGGGATGGCAATTATTCCTCCGAATGCTGTGAGGCAGTGCTGGAAGAGAGCAAACACAGAGCGGAGAGGATCATTGTCATTGTTTTTCTGTCTGTAACATCAAGCATAAAGAAGTCATAGACACGTCATTATATGGAAAGCGACTCTAATATCAGCTGTTAGACTGAACCGATAATCACAGGACAGCAAATCTAAATCAAATCTCAGACTGTTCAGTTTGTACAGCACTGATTGCTGGGTCTGAAAAAGCACTGAAGAACCATCAGGCGCTTACAGTTCAGTCGATGTTATATAAGATATGACACAGTGTTAAATGCATTATTTATCACACTCATCTCCACCGGTGACGTACTTGGATGCCTAGAATGATACACAGATACCACGGAGGTACATCAGTCACACAGTAGACAAGTTTATTGTCGTCTTCGTCCAGAGAGGAGTCCAGTTCTTCACTCTTGGCATCAGGTAGTTCACAGAAGTGTCCGTCAAGCTGTCATTAGTGAGAAAAAGAGTAAATGTTGATGAGGTTTAAAAAAAAATCTGTAATTACCAGTACAAGCCCATTTACTTTCATTAACAATTGAAGTAAGTCAAGTTTTGTCAATCATTAGCCTTTGACCACGTGATTTGATGACAAGCATTACACAAAATACTTTCACAAGACATTTCCTGATTCAATAACATTGAATCAGGAAATGTTTTGCTATAAATTAGAAATAAACTGCTCAAGACTTCTTTTGTTATTTTTCATATACATAAAACTAATATTTTATTGCATTTAATTACACCTTAAGTACTGCACAGAATCTTACAAATGAACATTTAAAATATATTTTTCTTTTTCTGGTTATTGTTTTTATGGCTGGTAGTAAAGTTACAACCATTGTCAATTCGCAAACATCTAGAAACACATTATTATTTAATAATCTAAATGTCATAGTCGGATTTAAAACAACAATGTGACCTAGTGTTGGTTTACCGAAAGGCTCAGCATGTAGATTCCCAACAGAGAATATTAAATACTAACGGAGAATATAAATAAAAATTGTACTCACTGAAAAGGCATAGTTTTCCAGACCGTTGCTCTCCTTTTCTGGAGCCATGATGAAGCACAGCTTGTAGGGCACTTCTCTGAAGCAGTAAACACCAGAAAAGTTTAAAAGCCAGAGGGGGAGGTGACATTTAGGAGTCTGATAAGAGGAAGGAGAGAAGCTGGGAACAAGGAAGGCGGAGTAGCAGAATGGTCAGAGGGAGTAAAGTTCAGACATGGGACTGCTGTGCTAATTAATTGAGACCCACCAGCAGCTCATGTGAACTTGATTAGAACAATAGCAGCATCTGACCGAGCAACAGAGAATGGAAGGAGCTTTTTTTCCCCCTCTCTTTTCTTCACTGTCATAAACGAGGTGCGTCCATTCACAAAACATCATGTAAAACCTCAATGAAACACCACAACTTCTTTTTCATCATCAAATAGGCCTGATGTAAAACCTCAATGAAACACCACAACACAAATGTTGAGACCAGAACAAATCCACTCCAGTCTAGTTCTTTTTCATCATCAAATAGGCCTATTTGGGGTTTTTTTTAGTAGAAAATACCGTGACCATTGCGCTGCCGAACAATCACATGGTACAAAAACATCCCTGTTTCCTTTTCTCTATGTCTGGGAATTGGTAATTTAATAAGCTAACATACCGTACAGTTCTACTTTCTTCAAAATGGCATTACACTGAACGAGCTAATGAGACTTGATAAAAACCTACATCCCCTTAATTAAAAAAAAGTCTGAAATAGAAACCCCTCTGTAGCAGAGGAACATACAGTCCACTAATCCTGTGGTATTATTTTACCAGGTTGATTAAAGACTAGCTCACTTAATTCAAAGTCACAAAAAGAAACACATTGGGATCTGACCCTGGAAAGCAGAGGAGTTTTGGGCACTAGCTAAAACTATACAATAACAAAAACCAATGACCTGCGTGGTGTGAGATTCAAACCTGCAACCCTTTAGTTAAAATGATTCTAACTAATATGTGCCTGCTGGGAACAATCTACTGTTACACTGTAACTTTATCAAACTGACTTGTGCTGCTGTCATAAAACCTATGTCAGACAACAGTCTAAATTTGCACAGTGACCAAAAATAATTTGGTTTGTGTGTGCTGTCCCCCCTGAGGGAGACTAATTACCGTAAGCCCATTTAACCCAAATAGCATTTGTTGCGCACATTAAATTGTGATTTTCGTGACAGTGAAGGGTGACTCTCAACTAACATTGGGAGGCTGTTGTTCATGTGATTGATCATGTGCATTAACACATGATCCATGAGAGAATCAATGCAAAGATAAAATCAATACAAAGTCATTTTTCAATGTTTTTCAATGTTAAAATTCTAAATCAGTATATCAGAAAATGTAGTGTGCAAAACAAAGTATATACAAACAAACCTGTCATGATTACTATGTTCTTTTGCCAAGTGTGTGTATTTAAGAAAACAAACTGCAGTTAGGGTAGCTAAAAAACATGAACACTGTTACCTTTATGTTCTATAATTATTTTGGTTTACTAAGTTGTTGTTTTTTCAGAGATCTGTCGTATATTTAAAGAAAAAAAAAATCACAGACTCATGTCTCAGGCCTGAGTTCACCACTCAGCTATTATTTCTAAATAAACATCAAATGTTGGGGCAAAAAATGATGTTTTGGATAGTTAAAATGATGCACTGGACAATTCAAAACACTAGTTGGCGGCAAGTCGCTAATGGTACGTTGATAAACGCTTGTAATAGAAGGAATAAGAGACTGAGAGTTGAATTGAAGTGCACTGGTTCATATTGAGTTCAAGGTGATAACGATAAGCCTGGCACACACACACACACACACACACACAAACACACCACAGAGAGTGTGTGTGTGTGTGTGTGTGGGGGGGGGGGGGGTGTATTCTTGTAGAACCTCATTTACACCTCCTAATCAGAACTTCAAATCTGACCCTAACAATCAGCAAATGAAACCCAACCTAAACCTTATGCCAAATACAATGAATATAGTTAAGACTAAAAAACTTAGTCCCATTGTTTCTGTCCCATTTGGACCAGGATTTGGTCTGCACATTACAGGTCCTAGTAAGACCATTGACAATGCTAAAAATGGTCCCTAGTTGGTTATGAATACATGTATACACCAATTCTTCATGAGATTTTATTTATTGTAATAGGAAATAAAGAGAACGGAATAGCTACACAAATCAACAGGGATTTTTTATTATACTGTATCTATCATATCTAATGTTATTTATTTTTCTTTTTTAATATTTGTGCTACATTATTAATAAAAATTTAAAAAATGAATAAAAATGAATAAAATAATGAAAAATGTCCCATCAGGCTTTTAGTGTGCTCAGTCAACCTTTATAGCATAGCTAAAGTACTCACAATTACAAATCCATATCAAGAAACAAAAAAGTTAAAGTTAGTAATTAATAATCTTTTTTTATAATAATCACTTCAGAATAGATTCAAAAATGCCACTGAACATTTCCAAACTTTGCCCTGAAGCATTCCAGAATTAACCAGGAATTCATTAACCTCAGGAGAAAACTTCAGCAATCACAGAAATACTGAAATGACAGACAACGGATGACTGGGCATTTTCAGAGGACAAAAAAGAAATACACAGAAATACATTTCAGGTGTAGACCTTTATGTCATCACAACAAACCACCTCCACAGCATTTATGGATCTACGCATTGTGTTCAATACGTGAACACACACTGCAGGGGCAAAGTCTTGGGCTTAAATGGAAACGGGTTTGTATAATTTTCCTAGAAGTTTGCAGCAACGGAACTGTTTGTTGCTCCTCCTGGATGACCAACATGTGATAAAAGACTAGTTTAAAAACATGATGAATGTGGAGGAAGTACAACCTGAACCAGAGCAGCACAGAGAGAGGGAGACGCAGGGCAGCTTTCTGTGTGGGAGGGGCTTTGGATATAGAAATACTTTGATCTTAATAATAGGCTAACACAAGTCAATAGTGTTGAGGACGACGTGAGTGCAATAGTCATGGCAGGAGATAGGGCACTGGAAAAGTGGAACAGAGGAGATACGGCTGTGCTTTCCAATACGGATGAAGAAAAAGGGACTGAACGTGCTAAAAATTTGTCTCATTCTATTGAGGCGATACTGAGGAGACCCATGTGTGAGAGGGAAGAGAGGAGAATTCACCACAACTGCTCTGTGATTAAAGAGAAGACCAGTGAAGTGGAGCCACCATCATCTACAGGTATTTATCATAATAAATAACTCAGAAAGCTCTAGGACAAACTGAACCCTTCAACAATCCTTAAACAATTTGTAATATTATGGGAGATTTTTCTTTCCAACCTGCTTCTTCACATTGTTCAAGGACTAAAGTTATTTTCAAATAATGATACAAATAATGCAACAAAACCCATTGGAAAGCTTCAATGTGTAACACAGATTCCAATTCAAGTTTGTTTCTTTACTTAATTCAGGACAATGAAATGAATTTAACAACCATTCAATTTTATTTCTGTCCCAGAAACCCAGCCAAACAAACAAGTGGATGCGTCTCCCAAAGCCAAGACAGGATGCAAAAGTGAGTGTTGAGCTTTAAATAAATAAGGAAGACGGTGCATGTCTGGCTGTGCAGTTTTATTGCCGATCTGGAGGTGACACTGGCAGTGACCCGTTCACAGGTCAGAGAAAGAAACGACAAACCAGGGTCACGTTCACACTGTTCCAGGTGGCCGAGATGGAGAAGGTCTTTCAGCTGACGCACTACCCAGATGTCAACACCAGGGAACAGTTGGCTTCCTCGCTGCACCTCACTGAAGCACGGATACAGGTGGGAGACACGCAGCTACCGCTGAGTGAAACTATGGTTTTAGTAATCGTTTGTTTCACACATGAAGATTTAATACTGTGGGGAAGTATTCACTGAGTTTGATCAGTCTCTTTAAACATATTAAAAAACATTCAGTTATTTTGTTGACAAAATAATCTGCATGTAAAAGATATTCCTACGGTGGATCACAAACAAATAACCAATAAAATATTTACAATAAAAAAAAAAGTTAATTTTTCTCACAACACACTAGTGGGAATCACTGGTGTATGTATCATTTGTGTCTAAAAATATTTTTCAGATAAGAAAAAAATATAAAATATTATTTTAAATAGTACCAAATACATATACTTTTTTTAGATACATTTTTGTATAAATTAAACAAATTGAGTATTTTGTGTTTTTGTTTATGGACTGAGACCAAATGTTTGTTATAATATTACAAGGTTCTGACTTTTTGACACATAGCCTTTTTTCTCACTAGAAACATTTCACTCACATGTATTTGGTAATTTGTCGTTTGGGCCTAAGATATGGTTCCAGAACCGCCGAGCCAAATGGAGGAAAAACGAAACTCTGAAGGACTTAAATCTGTTTTCCAGACAACACACAACCAGCCAACAGCTGCATCAGTATGAGGTATTTATCATAATCTAATGTTCATACATTTTAAATACTAGTGTCTTATATGTTTAACACTCCAAACTGAGTTTATTTCTGTATTATTTCAGGAGCCCTCACTGCAGGTGGGCAGGTGCTGGCTCCCATGCTGCCAACCTGAACCTCTTCAGTCGTGGCTGTTCTTCATGTCTCCATCATCGCTGACCCTGTTGACTGACACACACTCCACAGATTACAGGACTCTCAATTTGGACCTGCTGAGAACAAATCGATAACACCTGTAGTATTCACAGATGGAGATTTTTTTTATTACTATTATTACAGTTATTTCATGTACATTCAATAAGATGGCAGATTGTATTGTGCAATATCTAAAATGCAATTACCTTTGTTCCATGAATAGTCTCTGTTTTATGGCTATTAAAAACCACTCAGGTATTCACCAACATATTGGTGCAGATATAGGTTTGTAGCTGTGCTTCGTTGTTGCACTAAGTTCTTCTTATGACACTACAGTTTCTTGTCAGCGATAAGTTACAGCTCAGCCATAAACATCTGTTTGACTTTCTGTCAACCTTTACTTATCTTAATTTTGGATTGTAAATGGAGGTTAGTGGTGGGTCAACCTCAACGTTTATAGAACATGTGAAATGGGATTAAAGTGAAATCATTGATAGCGTTATAACCGGCTGTGTTATCAGGATGTGTAATGTTTAACTCCCAACACTTTTATTTCATAGCTTAGGCTAATGCTGCTGTGTTTCACAACCTTCTGAGTAATCATTCAATTTTTTTTATCAACTTTGTCACCATTTTTTCTTACGTGACCTGGATCGCTGGACTTCTGAGAACCATTGTTTAAATAATTACCAATTATAATAAAGATAAGACAGCATCGCCTGTACTATGTTACTAAACAGCCAGCCCAAAACTGATTACATCGAATAAGCCTCTAATGACTGCAGATGAACTTTTCACCCTGTTTGTCCTTCCTTTATTGCAGGTTCTGCAAGATTAAGTGTACACTCGCCGCAGGTTTGAAATTAAACCAAACACGACTTCAATTATAATAAAGATAAGACAGCATCGCCTGTACTATGTTACTAAACAGCCAGCCCAAAACTGATTACATCGAATAAGCCTCTAATGACTGCAGATGAACTTTTCACCCTGTTTGTCCTTCCTTTATTGCAGGTTCTGCAAGATTAAGTGTACACTCGCCGCAGGTTTGAAATTAAACCAAACACAACTTCATATAATCAGTAAAAAGAAAAGAAAAAATAAAGTTTTTGGTTTTATAATTAGCATTAGGAAATGCTTAAAAACCAAAAAGCCAACTTACCTATCTCGTCCTACATCAAAAGCCTTTTATCATGTTGCATGTTTACTTCATTTTACAAGAAGATGACAAAAATAAAATGTTTGTATTATGGCACAAATCCAGTATCACGGTAAGGAATACTCATTTTAACATTCTCATTATGCTAAAAGTGTTAAAATATTTAATAAAAATGGCATAGAAGTACGAGATGGAAATACTGTATAAATATATATAAGGAACTGTGTTGTGTGGAGGTGCGTGTATGTGTGTAAAAGGGCTTGATTACTCATTGAAAAATGTCATTGTATTTCTGTTGACCCAGGGCGTCTGTCAGACTGACGCACATATTGTAACCTTGATGACTGGTGACTACAGGAAGTAATAATTTCCTTCTGCTTTATGTCCAGCAGCACTGACTGGTGGGAATATTCTACCACCACATTCATTTCTGGGGCTGAGGTGAAGCAATTTTTCCTGAAAGTCAGGAAACTGTTGTTGGTGTTTTTGTTGCAACACTTTCTGTTCCAAACCAACCTCCTGTGGCAAATTCATAAATCAATTCACTTATATGATTGTATGAGGGGCGGCAGCGTTTCTTCCTTTCCTCATATTTGTTTACTCAGAAGTTTAATATTCAGCAGAGACCTGGTTAAAGGCCTATAAAAGAGCTCACATTCACAAGTACAAAACCTTTTACTGCCTTTACAGCAGTACTACACAATAAACTCATAATACTTACTGATAGGAAGTCTCATTATTATGAGAACTATTATAGTGTTATACATTCAATAAACAACTTACAGGTATGTGAGTACTGAGGCTGTGTACTAATACCCAGGGTATTTTCTGATCACCATCCTATAGAGCTGACTGACGTTGTTCTGTTTTAAGATTTGTTATTTTTGTACATTTTTAGTTTTATTTTGTTTATATGTATATATATATATATATATATATATATATAATGCTCCGTCTCTGCTCAGTTTGTTTTTTTCTGCAAATACCGTGTCGACTGTGTGCTGTAATTAATAAGGCCGACAGATGGCGCTGTTGTTCCCCTAAATAAGCAGAAATGATGCTCAGTATTTTTGCTGAGTGTCATGCAGACACTGACCTAAATTTAAACCGTACTGCTTCTTCCTTCCATCTATATGAAGGTTGTTAGTATGTTTGGACGCATTTTTTTGTTCGTTACGTTACTGTAGAGCTTTATGTACATATGCTTAATCTTTGAGATAGTTATTTTTTTCCACTTCTATCTCAAAGGAGTGGGAGAGAGAGGAGGGCGGCTCATCAGTGTCCCTCAGCCTCCGCCCGCTTCTGCTGTGGCTCTGTGCAGAGCTGCTGGGAGGCAAAGGGAACCGCAGAAGGACAGGGAGACGCACATTGGCTCGGATCGGACAGGGACAGGGACAAGGAGAGACGGGCGATGGCCGCCGACGGTGGAGGATGCGGGGAATCTGTGGATGAGTACCGCGCAGAGGTGGAGCGGCTCACCGAGGAGCTGGCCGAGGCAAACAGGGAAAAGATCCGAGCTGCCGAGTGTGGTCTGGTGGTCCTGGAGGAGAACCAGGTTCTGAAACAGAAGTATGCCGAGCTGGAGAACGAGCAGGAGGCTCTGAGGAATGAGTTGGAACAAATGCAGGAGGTAGGCTGCATGGATGCGCTTCTCCAGCGTGATTTGGCGCTGACAGAGGCAGGTGCTGCATCAGCTCATGTGGGATGTTGTGTTCATGTACTGCGCTGTGTCTGATGAAGTATCTGTAAACCTGGGTGAAAAGACCAGGCTAGATGGCTGGGACCAGCAGAGAGTTGTCTTAAGCCCTGCAGGGTTCCTGCAAATTTCAGTATTTCAGGTAAAATGTGACAAAAGAACTTTACCACTGTCTTAGGCAGGGCTCTCAAACTCCAATTCTAGATCGGGGGTGTCAAACTCATTTTCACCCAGGGCCACATCAGCAATACAGTTCCCCTTAAAGAACTGGTTGTAAATGGAATACTGTATAGATCAGGGGTGCCCAACCCCTGGTCCACAGACCAGTACCAGTCCATAGGTCATTTGGTACCGGGTCGCAGTGGGACATTTACTCATTTACTTATTTACTTCATTCAAAGAAAATCCAGTCATATTCATTGACTCTCTTAAAGAAAATCCAGTCATATCCATTGACTCTCTCTATTTAAAGATAATCTGGCCATCATTTAAAATAATATGTAATTCAGACTCTGACTACTGGCTGGCCACTCCTTGGAACAAAAAGATTTGGAGCATTGGTATAGATGTACTCCATAATAGACTTATACATTTTCTGCAATTGATTATTATTTGATTGATTATAAAAACGTTTAATTTCTCAGGTTAAGAAACTGCTGCAAGGACTTTACTAAATTCTTGCACTTCAATGATTTTTATAATAATAATTGAAATTTAAATTAAAAATACCTCTTAAAAATTAAGTTATAAGTTACATCTAGTCACGGACAAAATGTGGAGGTGGGGGTTGTGGGCCAGAAGTGGTCCCCGGCCCAGGAGTTTCAGGCCTGCATCATCTTGCAAGATTAAGTTAACAGAAAGTTAAAGAAAACAGGAGCTTTACTGCTGATGTCCAATGGAGTTGTGCACACAACAGCCCAATTTCTGTAATGTAAACTCAGCATTCTGTAAGCATATCACAACCCACTGCTCTCTCCACACCAGTGTAGCCCACAGAGATCAATACCCACTGTCACCAGTTGTTATTTTAAAGTCACTTTGTTGAGTGGTTTTGGTGTTTTAAACACTCTCTAAATGAATCTTCAGAGTTCCATTATATTCTCGTTCTCTTCAACGGGCTGCCCCTCGCAGGTGCCAAGTATGTGATACCTCTGGGAATTGAACCCAGGACTTAATGCATATGGGTATATAGCAAAGAGGCCGATTTAAAGCTCCAGGACAAAAACAGAGAAGTCTGTACCAAAAGGAGACAACCTGAGTGTGTTTCTGTGTGTTTGTGGTTTAGGTATGGCTGTCCTTATAAGGCAGTGGTTCCTAAACTTGGGGGTGGTTACCCCCTTGTGGGGCACAGCGTTATTGTGGCAGGTCAAAGGTTTGTTAGTTCTACAGTGCTACATCTTTCCCTTTTCAGTGAGAATATTCATTTTTTTAGGGATTATAGAAAAGCTGTGAATGTGTCGACCTGTGGGGGCAGCAGTACAATAGCCATCTACCAAAATGTACAAAATAGGCAGCGCAGCTAAAAACATTTGGGGAAACGTGGTGTAAGGGATTATGTGAAGCATTATGTCTATATACATAAAGTCCTTACAACCCATAAAAACCAGAGTGTGTGTGTTTGCATGTGTTTAGCACTTTTTCTCACCTTTTTTCTGTGCCATCTGTTTCTTCACAGTAGATATTTTGGTGCAATAGCAAAATGACTAACTAGAGAAGTGAAATTTAGTTTAATCAACTGTCAAAGACTATGAAAAAGGTTTGAAAAATTATATTGTGTCCAATTATAATTTTTTTTTTTTTTTACTTTGTGTTTTCTTGATGTTTCTTTTCATAGCTATGTTCTAAACCTTTCCAGACTTTGGCCATAAGCAGAACACACTAACACTAATATTACACATGTAAAAGTGCAACATATTTGTCAAACAACCAATTAAGACATTATGCCGTATTCTATTTATAGCATAAAAAGATGGAAAACTATTGAACAAATAACATAAAATAATAAAAATTGCCATATGAGTTTGTGCAACCTCCATTAGTATGCCTTGCTCATTTGACTTCCCACTGTTAAAGTGAGATTAAATATTAATAATATCCATGGTCGAACTCACGGCATGAAACACTCTGCATGTTACAGTACATTATAGAAACATAAAGATTCTATAAGTAGAAACCTCCAACTCCTTTGTTCGACCTGGTGCTGTTTTGTGCCAGTGCCTTTATTAGTAAAAAGACTTATCAAACCTTTTAAGATTCACCACCGTGTTACCTCCGACCTTGGATCCAGCAACCCTAACAGACAAGTAGAGATATTGTTGGAGAAGCTCAGATGGGAGATTGGATTGTGAATGTGAAAAAAAAGTGTTTTTCATCACTGGTCTGTAACTATAAATCAAAGTGAAGCAGCAGTGTTGGTCTGTCATCTGCTAACTACACCATCCTTTGTGCATCCTGTTTACGTTTTCCTTGTATTTCTGGTTACTATCTACTGTCTGCTGCACACTTCTCATCATGAGTTCCAATGTGTGTCACAGCTGCCACTACTGTAACTTCATATCAGATCCTCCTGAGCTCAGAGTAATAATAACAATAAAAAAAGGAAAAGGTCATGTAAAAAGAAAATAGAAATTGAGATTGCTTCTGGGACTGGCCAGACCAGAGACATATCAATACAAAGACTCCATTACACAGTCACCACCTTTATGGACAATAGATTGTATTTTCTGTTTCATGAGGGTAGTGTACATTTTATGACCTTTAACACCCAATACAACAATCATGGAAGTGCAAATGTCACAGGTTTATAATTCGTATTTAGTAGAATTGAATTCACTTTGGTTAGATTCTCAAGTTTCTTTTCACAACATTTCAATTTAAATTGATTGTTGATCTTGTCTGCTAATTTAAATAATAAATGAATGCAAATGCTTTTTTTTAAAAAACAGCTAACCATTTTATGTCCAATCCAAAGTCATCAAACATTAGATACAAATGTAAAAAAGCTCTTCTCTTCATGACTTTAAAAGTCATGGTCTGGAGCTGTGTGGAGTTGTAAGACCTAGACATGTAATGGAAGCCTAAAGATATGTTGACAACTGACTCAATGTCTTCCCATATATTTCCCTTTTACCCAACATCCCATGTGTTTGTGTGTTTGTCTCTGCTTGACTGCACAGGGAGACACCCTTAGTCTGTGGCCCAGGCTTGTTAGAGCTGTCTCTGGGCAGATCAAACTCAGATAGGCCACAGCAAGAGGCCAGAGGAGGAGGATGTTATTACCGCAGAGTAGGAGGAGCAAAGTCATCATCACGCTGATGAGGCCTGAAATCATATGAACAGTAGATGGACTGGTGGATCATTTTATTGTTTAGTCAATGTCTTTACAGAAAGTTGAACACAGAGACTAATGGTGAAGGAGGAAGACCTAAGTTAATATGTGAAAAAAATGTGGGTGTTAATGTTGGAAACTACCTACTTCATATGAGGATTAAGTGGCACCAGTTAAGTCAAGGTTAAAGGTCACTCTGTTGTCGACATACTGCAAATATTATTGAAAATAGGATTCTCTCTGACTTCAAGTATCCATCCATCCCTCCATCCAGTGATCCATGCATCAAACACAGATTGGTGTTAGGGAGAGCCACAGCAATGTTAATATTTCATTGTCATCCCTTACAGCACATGTCAAACTCAAGGCCAGTGGACCAACTGTGGCCCGCCAAGTCATTTTGCATGAGCCCAATTGCCTCATAATGAAGTCCATGCTGCTGAGTTTCTTAACCTGATAAATTAAAAGTTTTTTTTATATCACCAAGCGCAATGTGCAATATTTGTAAGTTGATGATTTACTTACAGTTTAATGATTTACGCTGTTGAAATGACCCATTGGTTTGATCTCCAAACTCCACAACACTGGCCTTGTGTCCTCTAAATGCCTGTTTGTCCTTCATCTAGAAATGGATCTGAACTTCAGCACAGAATAATGAAAAGTTTATATTTTTTGCAAAATATTCTAGTGTGTGTGTGAGAGAGAGAGACCTAGCTGCCAACTCCGGCTCAGCAATCACAGAGAGTGCAGGTTTGGTTGTAAATTTATCTGCACTGCCAGGCTAAAAGGATACATTACTGAGTGGCCGCTCCTACTGCTCTTTCACATTAACAGGGTCTGCAGGAGGTCAGTGAACATGGATGGAGGAATGAATCAATACCTCATGAGACGATGCTGCTCCCTGTTCTTACCTTTCTGTCTTCACAGTCATGTCACCCTCCCCCTCTGCACATTTCCATTGGCCTCACACGACTCCCCTACACACACAAACACACACATCCAAGGAGTAAAATGGGAATTATCCATTGATCTGGTGAAATATATCACATCGCAAGCTTTGTTGCAGTACAACTTGTGTTGCTGTGAATAACGTATATTGTTAATAAAAAAAATATAACAGGTCAAGACAACTGAGTCAACCATCAAAAATACTGCAAGTGAATGGCCTTTTTGCAGTTTGTGTGTGTGTGCTGTGTACAGTTACTGCAGTGAGTTAGGGCCGTGACAGACAACATGCCATTTTAATTGTACTTCTGTTTCACGCTGAATGCCACTAAGATAGAGTCGTGACCTTCACCTTAAGGTCGTGTTGTTTGCTCATCTCTCCCCAGAGCCCACTCTTGGATCCTGATTTTCCCAAACACCCCATTTAAAATGTGTCGTTACACTGATTAGTCACCTGTTTTGCCAAAAGCATTGACTAACATCTGCCAATCGATGTATGTTTATTTATAGTTCTTTTGATTGTTCACACAAATTAAATATTTGTGCTTTAAAGCATCAGTTACGTCAAGTCTCAGTGGAGTCCAGACAGAACAGTTCAGTTTGAGTTTCATTCTTTACAAGGACCAGTGCATGCAAAAGGGGAAGAGAAGAGCCTCTCATC